ATCAAGAGTCACATTCATTCCAGCGCCGCTCTAACATTTCAATACTACTTTTGTAGAACGATTTATCTTTTGAATTGGAATATGCCTCAGATTTAGCAATAGTCAGTAGTCGCTGGGAGCCAAATCTGGTGAATACGGTGGATGTGGGAGCAATTAGAAGTTTAATTCATGTAGTTTTGCCATTGTTGTGATTCACTTGTGATACGGGGTATCACCGTATGCGATCGTTTATTTGGGATTTCAGCCTTCAAACGCTCTAATAATGTTACATAATATTCACTGCTGATGTAATTTCCTTTCTCAAGATAGTCAATGAATATTACACCACGCACATCTCAAAATACCAAAACTATAACGTTTCCAGTCAACTGTTGTGGTTTTAGGAGCTTTAGATGTGATTCATCAGTTGCTCTCTTCTCAGATGACGACCAGGACCCATATTTCATCCATTGTCACATATCGAATGCTAAAATTTCGGTTTGTTGTATTTAAACATGGCCAAACTTTGTTCAGAATCATCAAGACGTTTTGTTTTTGATCAACAATGAGCTCGCATGACATCTACTTTGAACAGACCTTTGTTATATTCAAATGCTCATGGAATACGTTGTTATGATATCTTTACAACGTCAGCTAACTCACGTAACTTCATTTTTCGATCATTTGAAACGATTATATGGATTTATTTTATGTTTTCTGCCTCATTTGGACTTCCCCTGCGTTCTGGTCTCTCTACGACCACGTTTGAAATCAGCAAACCAACTGTTTGCTGATGAAGCGGAGTCCTTATAACACTTCTCAAGCCATTTCTCAGCTTGAACGGTATTTTTTTGTCATCATGTGAATTGTTCTGAAAATAACAAAAGTATTGTCACTATTGGCATAATAATTCACAAACTTTTGGGTAGAATATCATGAAATTTCAACAGCTTTCTTTTGAAGGTTAGTAATCACTGAAAAAGTGGTGGATAAAATAAGACTAGTGGCATCTATACGTTAAGCCCGAGACTTTTCAGCCCATGTAATACGTCGATTTTTTCAACCCACAGTGGATAATCTCATTAAAGATGTGTTAGCAATGCAATTTCTATTCCTAAATATTTGGAGCATAGAAATTTTCTTCTATCTGTCAAATAACGATCACAAGCATAGGTCCTTTCAGTAATGCAATATGGAACAATTTGCATATCCTCGAAATTTTGAAATGATGTCCTGAAAAAACTTTATTTGGATTACTGATAACATTTTTCATCAAATATTTTTTAATTTTTTATTTGTAGTAATATAGCACCCAACGTTTTGGATATATCAGTGAAAAAATTGATTATCCATCGATTGAAAAATACGAATTATCATCAGCTCAGAGAAAATCATGCGATATGAAATGAACTCATGATCTTCAGTGTTTCACGAAATATTTCAAGCGTGAAAAAATCGATCGTAGTATTCTTTAAACGACAGTTTTTGTGGAGGACTGGATATTTTATATTATATAGGACCATTTACTGACCAGTTGTTCATCTTACGCAGTACTTTTCGAGATGAACTTTTCAGTTTGCTCTTTACTACACTTTAGCAGATTCTCTATTGATTCAGCTTTTATGTTTTCAGATTCTAGAAGGTAATAAACCCCAAAAAACCGTATAAAATACTTTCAATATACCAAAAACAACGTCTTTCAGATGATGGTGACAAATATATTCTCTTTGAGTTGTTATAAAAAGGAAAGCATAATTGTCAAAATTTATTATGTTTTTGAAGTGCTCAAAAATGTTCATGCATTACGATAACAAAAAACTCTCTGGCTGGAAAATTATCACCAACATTATTACAATCCATCACCTACAATGAGTATAACTCTCTGATTGATTCGGCAGTTACTTGATGAAAATCCATAGTAGTTTTAAAAACTACATCCCACAAAACCTCCACAAACTTTATCTGAAAAATATATCACAACATGTTTCGCTAGCCCAGTAGCTTACTCAATTGATTTTCATAAATCCCTTGAAAAAGCTACTGTGGAGATCAAATCGTGAGGTGTAGTTTCTGAAAAAAAATTAATATCTCATTTGCGCATTATGATGACAAAAACGTGTTTTCATAAGAGTACTCAGTGATATTGAACGAAAGTTTTGTTTTTGCGAGGTAAATTAGTTTTTATCGACCTTCAGTATTTTCACTTCTCATATCCGAAAAATATGAAAAAAGGGCAAAAGTTCACCCCTTTGACATATGTTGAAGAAGTTGAGTAATGAAAAGATCCAGCAGAGGAAAACCTGTATATTTTGTGAATTTCTGAAGACGGAAGCAGATTTTTAGTATCCAGAACGTTAAGATGAGTATTGTATGATTTCTTTGATGGCCAACAAACACTGATGAAAAATTTTGTTGTGAAAAATACTTTGAATTCACGCATTAACTTATCGGGGTGAACAAAAATTTTTGCCATTTCTACAGATCTAGAAACTTCTCCATTACAATTTTCGAATGTAAGGACAAAAAACCCAAAGATGGTCGATGAATACTAATTGATAGTTTAATGGGGAGTTAATTCTGTACAGATCAATAAATATTTCACCTAATTTCAAGTAACTCCATTGTAAAATGCGTGTGGCTGGATGAATCCACCACATAGAATGAGAATAAATATTATAGAAATAAAGAGCATTATTCATGTGAGGCAGAGTAAAATAAGTTCACTGTTGAATTGCCATTCAGTGAACAAAATGAATTAACAGAAAACGGTTTGCAGTTGAATGACAGAAAATTCATCTCGAGGAAAAAACCAACAGATATGGCGAGTGAATGGGTGTCCGCAGATTGCGATGCTTTCCAAAAGAGAAAACAATTTGGATCTATCGATGACAATATTTTCCAAAGCCATCAGTTGATATGAACACGTGAAATACAAAATAACGAATCAAAACTTTTGGGCAATCTTAAGTAAAACAAAAAATAAAGTGATAATTTCATGCTGATTTTATTTGTATCATTTTGTATTATTCAGTTGAGAATAGTGGGAAGCAACATCACCTTATGATAATATTCACTTCTTGATGGACGCTTTTTTAATTTGGGGATCAACATCAATGAACACCTTCACAGAATCGTTGGGATACGGTGGATCGAATACAGGTTTCATATTTCTCCCCACGTACAAACAATACGGCATCTCAGCTGCCAGTTCCATGTTCATAGATTTAGCCAACTCTGCCAGATGCAAACTCGTTGCATTGAGTCGCACAACTTTGTATCCGCAATCAGCTGCCAGTTCCTTCGATTCATTTAGCAACCTTTCAGCGATGTCGCTTCTGCTGTGAAACTTTTTCACAAAAAGATTGCTGATTTCGAAAATTTTTTGAACACAGTAACAGTCCCATAGTTGTGGAAACCGCTGTATGTGGGCTTGGAATAATAACAGTTGTTTCACGTTTGAGCACTGAACACTTGCGGCTAGTTTCTCCTTCAAGTCAGGATCCCATCGATTCGAAGTTTCATTAATACATGCCCCTACTATACATCCATCATATTTGCTTCTTGCTACCAGAGATATTCCTTCCGCAAGGTTTTTCAGAGCTGTTTCATCCATCACAGTGTTCCGAGCGATTCCTAAGCTGAAGCATGTTGGCTCCTCGGGATAGTATGCTTCGTGCATCAGTTTGAGAATTGTTTCATAGTCTTCTTTGGTTGGTTTCAGGATTATGTAGGGTGATAAATGTGTATCTCTTCGATCTTTGGATTTTTTGAAAATGGATATGCACCTGCGAGAATGGAGTTTGGACAGATTTCTGGAACTGAGAATTTTGTGAATGAATGAGCCGAAAAAATTTGTCATCTTGACTGAAAATTTTGATGGATGGTGAAGTATGTTTGTCAGTCACCTGACATGTAGTGTAATTCAAAAAAGTTATCTACTAGGCGTTCAAATCGAAACGGTATTGAAAAAACAAGTATCATCATTATTCCTTATGATTACAGTAAATCCAAAGTGAAGAGCGGTCAGATACATTGAAATAATAATTGGTTCATATTCGCTTTTCGAGTTCGAGCTTACTTTCAATGAACCACTGGTCACGATCTACTTTCGAAGATACTTATTTTCCTTTTTGAAAATGTTCATCTCAATGGCATCTCAATGGAGAGAAGAAACGAGTGTCTTGTTGACAACAAAGTACATCACTGAAGTTCTGACATTTCCCAAATAGGTTAACAGGTACAAAAAAGTTTGGAACAATACGGTCGCATGAAAAATATCAGAATTGATGTTGGAGGCATCCAAAAGATAACCTTTCATTACTGCTTGTTGGGATCGATCTTTGAGTGAGCTGGAGAATCCACGAGCAGAAATGACCTGCCAAATGGGTAAATATTTATTCCAGAATGATTGAAAAAAATACATCCTAAAACTTTTTGTGTTCCTTCATGGCACGATGTCAAAAATAGGTGACAAATGGAGAACATGACTTGTTGAATTTTATTTCTTTTGCCATTCTGAGCATCGTTGGAGAATTTGAAGCATTCTAAGGATTGAGGAATAGAAAAGATTAAAGCTTTATTCGTGAAGTTCTGATCCTTTTTGGGTATACGTTGAACTGAAGTAGTCACAAGACAGAAAAGTGTTCTAACGCATTTTTGGTAAAAGCTGAACTCGAACAGTCAAACAACAAAAAGAAAAGAATTAATTGATTGATAAGTCTGAGTGATTTCAAAATAGAGATCGGAAACAATCGGGGTATTTTTTAAGTACCTACATTGGCAAATACTTCACCAGGACCATTTATGTTGTTGAACTGTCTTTTTCACATGTGATAGACGCTTTGTTTTACATACAGTGAAAATGGTGGGAATATTCTGTGTCGTGGGATATCAACTATTCAGCAGTCCTGACTTCTGCTTCTACGATACTTAAAACTCATCAAAAATCAACGAAGGTTTCATTATTATCTAGAAAGAGTTATTACATACAAAGTTTTTTTCTGGCCATTGGTGAACCTCGTTTATCATAAATCTATTGAGTTTTTCGTTTATTATAGCTTGATTTCAACGTATTAGACATGTATGTTAGTGCGAAGAAAACTTTTCTTTCGAAGACATTTATGGGATGGAAAGAGAAGCCAGTTCACGAATATTTCAGATAACGAGCCTCTCCAAAGCGGTCGACTGCAAAGCCGAAATCAAATTGCACACGAAATTTGTCCTATGACTTTTTAGTTGAAACCAGGGTCTGAACATAACTTCGTGGTCTTGATACCGTTGTCGATCCCATAGGTAGCGTCTTCGTCTCCGTAAGGGAAAATGTTATACTCTCACTTATTCAGGGTTGTCTTTCAAGGATACTTGTCTCCACCCATGAATTTGTGGTTCAGCCTAGTAGCACGGATGAGACGTATGGCTGGTGGAAATAATAAGATGACGAATGCGTTGTATTTGTGCTCTGGTTTTGACTATCAAACACATCTATATGTAACATGTAACACTCATGATGTCTACAGCAAAACTGACGCGTTCAAGCTCTGACATTATATAATTGACGTTTCTGTTCTATGGCTTCTATTATTTGGGATCACTATAACTCTCCTTTACTCATTTTCCAAAACTCATGGACTTTCTCACATTTTCGTGAATTTCAGTTACCTACATTTGAAGTCTCTGGTATCATTTACTGTCAAATTACTCGTCAAATATTCATGAATATACAAAATTTTCTTTTCTATATTTGCATCCACATACACAGATTATGTTTTGATATTAGTCTTCAGCACTGTTATTGGAAGAAAATATATCTCACTGTGATACTTTGCAGATATTCCATGCTCATTCCATAAGAGAGTATTACTGAGTGTGACTCCTAATTTGGATGATGTCTAATCAAGCTGAATAAAAATATCGTCCATTCCTGCAGCATGTAAAACTTACTTTCTTTTTCCTGGAAATGAACACTTTCATTTCTCATCATTGTCACCACCCATAAAAATAATATATCTAATTTCAATTATACTGACAACTTCTTGTTGGCAAAATCTAACAGAGTGCTTCGCTGGGCCTTGAGGAAATTCCCGTAAATTGGCAGTGAAATTTCAGCTTTAACGGTTTTCAGAAAACTATATAATCTGACCCATGCATCATCAATAGTCACAGCAAGAACAGCTGATTTGACCTCATTTTGGGTACGAAAAGGTGGCTGAAATTTCATAATACAAAAAGATTTAGATTGTACATAAAAACAAAGACTTGTTTTTGTGTGGCAATCAAAACTGAAGGAAAGTAATTTATTGTTTCTACATTTGCCTTCATAGTGGTTTCACAATCTTTTGAAAAATATTCGAGTCGCAGTGAGAGGAAGCGGTACGGTAAGGCGTCTCGTCCATTGGGAGCGGGAGCGAACTGCGAGATGGTTCTTTAAAACAGGTTTTTTAAATTATTCTGATGAAGAACTTTTTCGCTTTGTGATTATTACATTTGATTCATCGTCTTATCAGGCACAGACGATATTGACAAAGCCGGGAAATATAGGTAAATCCCATTTACGCAAAAAGAAAGGAGTTTGGTGAATTTTCTCATTTGTGGGATGTGCTTCAGATCGACGATAATTTTCCATTTTCTCATTTTCGAATGAGAAAGGACATATTTCAATACATTATTGTAACTTTTTTCGCACTAGATCGCAATCAAATACCAACAGAACGGGATAGGTTCTCAATACGCACCTAGTCGGATGAAAGCTGACGAACGAGACGGGCCAAGTAGACGCGGTCTCCTACCGATCCATGTGTTTGGATCGTTCGTGCGTTTTCGTGCGAATTCTGACGAACTGATTTTGCATCTTACCGGAGGTTTTCGCTCCCATTGGACGAGAGGCCTAAATTTCTCAGATATTGAGGTATAAACAATGTGAAATATACAATCATCTCACGCTGTGATTGAAACATTCACAGTGCATCCATTGGGTAAAGCAATTTATTCATTTCAATTCACTGTTTTCAAAGCGGTGATTTATCATACAGGGTGACCTACAGGGGCTCCTTTAACAGATTCTATAAAATAATAATGGATTCCCTTGTCACACAATCGAATGATTTTTCTCCATTCCCACGCAATCAGGAAGTAGAGATTTGACAACTGGAAAGCACATTTCATCGATGACCAATTCTATTAATGATTTTTCGTCTTCAGATTATGGTATTTTTGGCATTCCAATCTCACATTCTACAGGATATTTCCCACAAACTTTTTCTATCGAAGTAGTACGGTGGACCACAAACTTCTTTGCTGTTGAAGCTCGGGAAGTTCTTTCGATAGCTCTGTTGAGATTCTCTTGGAAATATTTGGTATATTTTACATTCACCATCATCGAAATTGAAAATTTCAAATCATTTGTATGCAATCGATCATTTGCTGGAAATCGGTATCGAACCCAAAGAATATGTCGAAAATAGGGATATGTACCACATAATTAAAATACAGATGTATGGTTGAAAAAGGAATATTCATTTCGTGGAGAATGATGGAGTTCCATATATTAGTAGTCGTACTCCTCATATCGATGACTTTGCTATTAATACAACAGATGCTATTAAGCAATTCAATTTTCGCAAAGCAAACTTTCCAGCTATGTATGAACTGATCAGAACAACCGAATGTACTGACATCGACTTGGCATGTGATTTATTATATCAAAAATTACACAGCATCTTCTTTCAAACAGTTCCACTGAGAACATTAAAAACACGTAAATTTCCCCCATGGTTCGACGCCGATGTTATCAGCCATATAAAGAAAAAGAAATTAGCATATAAAAACTGTAATAAATATAAGACAGCATTTTATCATAGTCAATTATCGGATCTGAAAAAAACTGTCAAAACTAAAATAAAAGCAGCATATAGTCAATTTACAAACTTATCTGAAAATAATATTTTATCTGACAGCTCGACTTCCTAGTCTTTCATACACTGTATGTACCTGGACAAACAAAACCAAGTCGATGTTGTTCATTTAGACTTTCAAAAAGCCTTTGATCAAATAGACCATTACGTTCTTCTCAGCAAATTGACAAAATTGGAACTCTCTAACCAACTACTTACTTCAAATGAATCATATCTAGTTAACAGAAAACAATTTTTCGAATATGAGTCTTTCAAATCGGCCCAGTAGGTAGTTATATCTGGGGTGCCACAAGGTTCTAATCTTGGACCTCTTCTATTTTTTATTTTTAATAATGATTTGGCAACCTCTTTGAATATTCTCAGCCTACTATTTGCAGACTATATATAAACTATATTATAAAATTGACGACATTACTGACTGCCAACGTTACAACATGAATTAGATGTAATCAAAGTTTGGTGTAATAATAATCGTCTACAACTGAACGTATCCAAATGTAAAATAATATAATTCATCCAACAAATCTACACTCTAAAAGATCTTGGTATAACATACGACAGTAAATTAACATTCACAACACTTATAAGGAATATGACTGCTGATGCAAATAGGCTGCTTGGATTCATTTACAGAAATGGCAAGAACTTCGAAAGTATTGCCACCTTAACATTGCTATATTTTGCGTATGCCAGATCTAAGTTTGAGTATGTCTCTTTGTTATGGAATCCGGTTTACGACTACCAAAAAACATCAATTGAGAGCGTGCAAAGGAAGTTCCTAAAATACTTATGTCTAAAAGTTGATGGTCAATACCCCACAAGAGGCATCGATCATAACATTTTGTTGACACGATTTGATATGACATCTTTGGAAAATAGGAGAGTTATTCTTGGTATAAAATTCCTGCATAAATTACTCAACAACAATATTGACAGTACGGTTCTTTTATCCATGATCAATTTCTTAGTACCAAGAAGTGAAGGTCGA